AGCGGTTCACGGTCGTCTGTTACCAGATGAGTCAGTAACTCGGCTTGAGACGAGTTAGTGGCAAGCGAAAATAGAAAGGAACTCGGATGTTAAAAAGGGTTCGAGAGGAAGCCTTAGAACAGGTGTTCGTCGGCCTAACTGGTGCTTCGGCTATACTTCCGTATACTCTTCGACACACAGCTGCTAAGGCTTTCGCTCTCAGGAGGCTCTCAACGAGAGTCCCCCTTTTTGACCTTTGGGCTCGGTCAGGGGTTGGAACTGAGAACCCCGCGGCTGGGCCCGCCCACCCGCGTATCTCCGTCCTCGGTCGAGCGTTTATGCCGCTCGGCCTCGGCGGCCACCTGGCTGTTGTTCTACCCCGCATTCCTCTCCGAGGAATGCTGTTCTGGGATGCTATCATTCCCACGATGTAACACGTGTGGCAATTCACTCACGTGTTGCTTCATCTATCGTTTACATGGGGATTCCACTACAGGGCCACTCGCGTGTGTGCGCGCGCGCCCGGTTGGTCGGCCGGCTGGCGGTGTATGCCCAGGGCGGCCGGAAGCGCGTGCGCCCCCGGCGCGACTCCCGGCGAGAAGGGCCGCACATGGGCGGCTCCCTCTTGGCCTGGCTCCGCCGACGGTGGCGACTTTTCGCCAGCCCCTCCGGCTGGACGGGGGGCACCTCGTTGCTGGCACCCCGAGTCTGGACATCGCTCCATCCCATCCCCCCTGATTTTGTATCTACCCCCCCCCCCTCCTCACCCCTCCGCCTCTCCCTGCCTCTCGCTCCCCCCCCCTCTGCCCTGCCTCCTCCTCCTCCTCCTCCTCCTCCTTCGCCTCCCGGCGCTCCCTCTTTCTCGGTGGGCCCTGTCCCCGCCCTGTGTCCGCGCGCCTGGCCTGGCCCGGCTCGCCACGCGGCCATCCGTGGCGGCCACCTGCCCTACCTCGCCTCTCTTTCCATCTGGTCGCCGCTAACGCCCCGCCCGCCGTCCCCGCCTGCTTTTCTCGCCAACAGAGGACTGTCCCCTCATTCCCTCCCCCCCCCCCTTCCCCTTTACCAACATGCTCACCCGCCTTGTTGGTAGCCGCCCCCTCGCGTCGGCTCTCCGCGCCTCGCAGTCCGTTCCCCCCATGCCTGCCGTCGCCCGCCCACTTCCATATCCGGCCGCTGACCACCGTGCCCCGCGCCCCCCGTTCGCCCGGCCCCCCCGTGGACAGCGCCCTGACCCCTCGGGCAGCCGCGTTCTATGCATCGCGCGCCGACACCTACCCCGAGGATGTCGATGAAGAGGAGCACCTGACCCCGTATGACACGTCCGATGAGCCCTACGTCCTGGACCCGGCCAACAAGCGCCTGCCCGCCATCGGGGTATGTCGTCCTGCCGCACGCCCCCCTCCCTCCCTCCTTCCTCTCCCCCCCCCCCCCTTCGTTCATGTGTCCTCACCTGTCTGTCCCGGTGCCCGCACTCCCTCTTGCCGCCTCCCCCACCGGCGTACCGTGCAGTACCTCGAGGCGTACGACGAGGCGCGTCGGTTCATCTACCACCATCGCAAGGGCCTCAACCAGAAGGCCGACTCTTTGGTCCCCCTGATCGAGGCCGAGGAGGCCCTCGTCCAGAAGTACAAGGCCCTGGTGGCCGGTGGCAGTGGTGCGGCCGCCCTCCTCTCCCTGCTTCCCTCTCATCCCCGCCCGCCCCCCCCTCCCCTCCCCGCGCTACGCGCCCGGGCCACTGACATGTTCGCTCCGCCGGTGGTGGGTGGTGTGGCCCCCAGCCGAGGATGCCCGCAAGTATGGGCCTCTGATCAATCAGCACTCCAAGAACATGAAGCTCTTCCGCAACGAGCGCCAGAAGATCCTCACCCATCTGGAGCGCACCTGCTTCTTCCGCGATCAGCGCATCCGCCACTCGCTGTGTACGTGTTGTGCCCCGGTGCCCAGGCTGGTCGGTTCCTCCCCTGCGCAGGGTTCTCCCCACTTACTCTCGCTCCTGCCCTGCAGTCGACCTGATCAGCATCGACCCGTTCGAGGAGAACAACGAGGAGTTCTTCCGCAAGTATGGCAACAAGGTACCGCCCGGTGTCCGGCATGCCGGCTTCTTTCCCCTCCTCCCTTTCGCCCGGGCCAGCCCATGCGCACGCCTCTGACCCCGCACCGCCACCGCCACCGCCACCGCCACCGCCACCGCCACCGCCACCACCACCACCACCACCACCCCGCCCTAGCACCTTGTCTCCCTCGTGGAGGATGGCCAGATTGGCCAGCTGTTTGGCCTGCGCCCGGCCCGCCGCCAGGGGAAGTTCGCCACCTGGCAGAGCACCGTGGCCCGGATGACCGAGAACTCCTTCCGGCATCGCCGCGAAAACACGGCCCTTGTGGCGGCCCTGCGCGGGTCGCTCCCCGGGCCGCTGACCACCCAGCTGATGGTCAAGTTCCAGCACAACACCCGCGTGCACTTTGCCAACATGCTCGATGCGAATGAGGTACACCCGCCATGCCCGGCGCCGGCAGACAGCTCCTCCTCCTCCGCCGCCGCCGCCGCCGCTGCTCCTTCCCCTTCCTCCCCCACTCCGGGAGGCCGCGTGTGACGCGCCGGCCGTGCTAACTCTCGACGATCGCTCCTCCCCCTCCTGCTTCTTCTTTCCTTTCCTTTTTTTGCATTCCCAACGCGCAGACGGCCGAGGAGCCGCGCATCCGGTTCATCCCGCCGGTGGCCGGGTCGGCCCTGCTCCAGGGCCAGGCCCCGCCCAGCCACTATACCCTGGCCATGGTGGACCTCGACGCGCCGGATGCCATTCAGCGTGCCTTCCGCTCGCGCATCCACTGGCTGGTGAAGGACATCCCGGTGCCGGTGCTGGATGCGGCCCCGGCGGCCCCGGCCCCGGAGAATGTGGCCAATGTGGCCAACGGCACCGTGGTTGTGCCGTATCTGGCGCCGCACCCGGAGCGCGGCAGTGAGGTCCACCGCTTTGCCTTCCTGCTGTTCGGGCAGGAGGCGGCCGGTGTGGCGCCGGACGCCGACGCCCTGCAGGCCCTGTGGGACGAGGCGCCGGCCCTGCCGAGCGGCGGCCGGCTCTTCGATTTCCCGGAGTTCCTGACCCGCGCCCCGGGCGCGGTGCAGCGCGTCCACGGTGCCTGCCTCTTCAAGAGCGAGTGGTCTCCCACGGTGACCGAGCTCTTCGATGAGGGGCTCTTCGGGGAGGGCGCCACCGAGCAGCTGTTTGGCCGCTTCCAGGAGGGCACCCGCCCGGATTACACCCACGACAAGTGGGCCCACGTTGCCCGGCCAGTCAAGGTCCCGGTCACCTCGGTGGGCGAGAAGGATGCCCCTTCGAACTGAGCACGCCAGCCGTGTCGATATGTGCATGCGCGTGTCTGTTGTCGCCCCCCCCCCCTCTCTCTCTCTCTCTCTTTCTCTCTCTCCCCTTCCCCCTCCCTCCCTCCTCCTGCCCCCTGGTGTCGCCGCCTTGGCCGCCCTTGAGAGGGGGAGGGCGAAGAAAGGGGAGGGGGCGCCCCGCCAGCCCCCGGGGAGGGGCCGGAGACAGAACACGCGCGTGCGTGCCGTGCCCCCCTTCCTCCGCCCTTCCTCTCCCTCCCTCGGCAGAGGTGGCCCACACCGGGTGGTGTTTATAGAGACCTCCCTGCCTTCGCCTCCCCCCCCCTCCCTCCCAAACCCTTCCCCAGAGCTTCAGAGCCTGCTTGTGTACTTGCCTACCCTTCTTTTTTTTCCCTTCTCCCTTCCCCCTGTTTGCTGTGGTGCGGCGGCCCCAAAAAGCGCAGGGCCGCGCACACCGAGAATACCCCCTTCACAAATACAAAACCCTACCTTCATTCATCCTTCTTGGTATTATCTGTCCCTGTGGCCCCCCGCGCTGGAAAGGGGCGGGGGGAGGCCGGGAGAAACCGCACACACCCGCTATGGCCAGGAGAGGGCGAGGAAACTATATTGTGGGGAGTCTAGTAGAGAGGCAGGAGAGGGGAGAGGGGAGGGCTCTCTGCAGAGAGAGAGAGAGAGAGAGAGGTGCACACACAATCGGCGGACGTGCAAACGGAGGGGGAGGCAGGCGCATGGGGGGGCATCAGGGGATACATGCGCTCACGCGAGTCCGCCCGCGTCCCAGGTGCAGGGCGCGCCGCGGTGGGGCACATCGCGCGTGCAAGAGGGGAGGGGGAGGGGGGGCGCCGCATGCCGCCGTCCCCTCTTAGTCCTCCTTGGCGGGGTTCTCGGAGTCATCCTCGTCCGGCAGCTCGGTGATGCGGGCCTCGTCCTCGGGCTCGGCCTGGCGCGCGCGCGCGGTGGTGGTCGAGCGGGAAACATCGGACGAGGTGGCCTCGGCCTCGGCCTCGGAGGTGGTCAGCTGGCCGGAGGCGGAGTCAGCCTGCTCGCCGGTGGCCGGGGTCGAGCCGCCCAGGCCGAAGGGAGAGGGCGACGAGGCGGCCCACGGGCGGGCAAGGGCGTTCTCGGCCTTCTCGCCCAGCAGGTGGACCTTGATCAGGGGGTTGTTGAAGAGGTTGACCGGGATCATGAGCGACTGCATGAAGAGGGGCTGAGTGGAGCCGAACTTGTAGAAGATACCGCCCATGATGACGGCGTTGAGGAGGGACTGTGTGCGTGTGTGTGTGTGTGTGAGGACACAGGGGGGGGGGTCAGCTTATGCGGGGCGGAGCGGGGGGGGGAGGGGGGGACCACGGGCGCACCTTCTTGACCAGGTCCCACACCTGGCCGAGGTCATAGTCCTGGGCATTGGTGACGGTGGGCTGGGCGTTCGGGTCGGCGGTCAGGCCCTGGGGCGGGGGGACGGTGACCGTCTGGCTGGCCAGCGACGCGTCACCCTTGATCTTCTGGTACAGGTAGAAGAAGAGGGGGTACTGCGCGAGGAAGACAGTGACGAAGACCTTCAGGATGAGGCTGTTGGTGAACTCATCCTTCGGGAGGCGCTGGAACTGTGGCCGGCGAGAGCAGGGCGACAGGCAGGCAGGCAGGCAGGCAGGCACGGGGAAGGGGGGTGGGTCAGGCGCGGGGCAGCGAGCAGAGTCGCGGGAAATGTGTGGGCGGCCGACGCACGACGACAATGCCGGCAACCAGGATGATGGTACCGAGGTAGGCGGACATGGTGGACGAAGTGGATAGGCACCGAGCTGCATGGA